TTAAGGATTTTACGCATTTTTCCTACAAGTTTGTGGTAAATGAAGTTCTAGAAAAGTTTAAGAAATTTAGGAAAGAGGGATGTTGCATGTGAAGGTATTCTTGAGATTGAAATATTATTATTTATGGAAAATAAATTAAAATTCTACCTTATATTATTTTAAAATTAGAAATTCAACAAAATTTGAGAGGTTTTGGTTTAAAACTTTTAATATTATTTATATATACACAGTAATTTTTTTTAATAAAAAAATTAATAAGAAATAAGAAAATACGTCGAAAGAGATATTTTTTGATCTACAGGAATGATACAGTTATTATTATTGTTTTATGATGTGGCACTGCGACCATCGTGCCGGGTCTAAACCCTCTTCACGGTTTAGACTAAGTCTCTAAACCTTAATGCGTCGATAAAAAGTAGTATAGAATTACTAGGACTACTTTACACAGTTTTATTGCCTCTTCCATAACGGTATGAGAGTACTGCTATATATATTTCTGGTCTAGGCAATACTAAGTGTTACCAGGTGCAATCTGTTTTGGAGGTGTCTAAATCGAAGTGGAAAAAGTACTTCGACAATTGGTTTGAGCGCATGTAAAAGTATATAAATCAGGCTGGAGAATACTCTGAAAAACAATAAAACAATTTTTGATAATAAATATTCGCATTTTCATTATTAGGCCAGAAATATAGCAGCCCTCGTACATTCCCAGGAGTCTATTCCGCATATGCGTAAACACAGGGCACTCTAACAGCATTTGTGTGACTGATTCTTCATCTTCTTCGCAGAATCTACTGTGTGCACATGTATATATACCCACTCTTATAAGGTGGTATTTTAGTTAATAGTATCCCGTTAAGATTCCTGTGATGATTCTAAATTTTTCTTTAAATAGATCCATACAATACTGGTATCTCCTATTATTATAGATACTATAGATATTATTATATTATTATTATAGATATTATAGATAAATGTTTTGGATTGTGATAATCCTTGTAGATTATTCCAGTAATACTTGTTGTTCTGGTTCTCCTTTATTTTTATAAGAGAAAGAAGGTTACTGTGGTCTAGTCCACAGAAAGCTACTGGCTGCTCCTTTCCCTAGCTAATTTATTTATGTATTCAAAAAAGGTTTCAGCTGCTATCTAGCAACCAATTCGTATAAATCGCATATCAGCATGCGAGTACTCTTCGAAATTGTTTGACCTATTGCTTTGTATATGCTGTCAGTTTTTCTCTAGTATTGATATAACATTTTTTAGAGAGACATTGTGATATTATGTCCAAATTCAACCGTTAGAATTTGATTTCATGTTATTACATGCACCATTCGCACATGTGGAATTAAAGTGATTTATTTTAAATAAATCAAAGTGTATTGTTAATTATTCTATTATATATATAAAATTTTTTTTACAATTCCTAAAGTCAACATTCAATTAATACATATATATTTATAGAGTTACTCTATATCTCTCTTCTCATTGATTCACATCTTCGCAAGTGATTCACAAGTGATATTAATTACAACAACGGTAGCGTAGCTGACAGAGATTAAAAAAATAAATAATTTTAATTCCTTTTTATTAAATCCACTTCTCATCACATTTCCTTAGACAGCCTCATCCCTATTATCTCCAGTTAACATTATTTTTTACCAATAATCTTACTCAAACGTGATAGACTGCGTGCGATTCGTATCTCCTGTTTCTTGTTACTTCCAAAGAGGGCATTCAATATTCCATATCTCTATCTCTTCCTATATAATAAGTTCGGAGTTTTATTTTTCTTTCAATTGATTCTCGCTATTTCACATGCGGTACTTGAACCCTTCTTCACATTTATGATCTGACAACAGTCAGATAGCTGCAGCTATTGCTTATTGTTTGTTTTATATCTAGAATAGTATTGACGATTAATATTACTTGTATTGTAAACTTCGCTTTCTTTGTATTTTGTTAATATTAGTGAGGCTAACCAAAGTGTTTGGATTTCGTTATAAAACTTAAATTTTCCATAATTCCATGATGTAAATTTCAAGGACGCAAGCTTTGTAAAATATCTATCGATTTCCTCTCTGTTTAACAAGCCGTGGTTAGTACTATAGATAAAGGTCTCTGCTCGAGTTAATCTTACTATAGAGTGAAAGAGAGAAATTTATTTTGTAAATTCCAAGATGTAAATTTCAAGGATGGAAGCTTTGTAAAATATCTATCGCTGGCCTCACTGTTTAACAAGTCGAGGTAAGTACTATAGGGATCTCTGCTTGAGTTGATCTTACCATCGAGTAAAAGATAGACTGTTTTTGGATCAATGTAAAGAATACAGCGGTAATTAGAGCATTTAGAGCAATTTATTTAATTTAGTTTAATTAAATTGATTTTATATTGAAATAAATTTAATAAATATAGAAATATGTTTAACTAAGTTATGAAATTCTATAAATCCAAAATGTATCCTTATAATATTTTATATAAAGCACAGACACAACTGTGCTCTGCTTTTTCTTAACTAATAATTTTACACTCAATCAGCTCAAAATGAAACTTATTATAATATTTTGTAAAATCAAAATCTGAAGGATAAGTTTCTCAAATTGTAGCTAAAAACTTGCTAAAGTATTTTATCTACATCCTGCAGCAACATTTCAGTTACACCAGCAACAGCAACTACAATAACAACAACAACAACTAAAACACTAGCAAGGACTATTGTACAGCAACAATAGAATTGTAATTCATATAAAACTGCCAGCAGTTAGTTGTATCATGTCCGAGTACTCGTATAGCGAACATACAGAGCAGCCCCGAAGATAGTTAAAGAAACCAAAATGGGTTCACTCATAAATTTACGATTACGATATTTTCCAATGCGATGAATGTGCGGATGTGGCTGAAATGCGCATCCGGAGCGCAATGATGTGCAAGCAAAGATGTCCTACTCAAGTTTTCTTTCCAACAGACACATACACATGCATATGTATGCACGTATGCACTTTAATACAAATGCAATTGCAAATGCAATTTATGTTTGCGGTGCAGTCGAGAGTAAAATTTGTGCGCCTTTCAAGACAAAATGTGCGATTGTTTTCGATGGATACGATCTTACCACTACTGCCACTACTACTGCTGATGGAGCTGAAGCAGTTGACGATGATGACGATAATGATGGTGGTGGTGGTGATGCTGGTGATGATGATGATGATGATGATGATGATGATGATGATGATGGTATTGGTTATAGTGTAAGTGATGCTGCCATTGTTGATAGTGCCATAGTCAAAATTTATAAAAATACTTTATAGTATTATGAATGTATGTAATGAATGTGTTTATTTAAATGCACAACGTATTTGTCGTCACTATTGGCACTGTACACACACACAGATATTGCATTGAGCTGGCAGTGAAAGCATTTGGGTGACACTGTATTGCGTTGCGGTTGAATCAGCTTGGCTTGGCTGACGTTGTGGTTCTTGCTTGAGTAGAGTTTAACGACAATTTATTTCGATTATGGCATCTACTTGGAACTATTTCTGCTGGTTTAAGTGCATAATGTGTTTGCAATAGCGAATATATCGATATACTCGTATGTTTGCAGTAATAGTAACTCTGTTAGCCAGCTCAGGCCGTGCCTTGCACTTAAACAGTTACCAAGTAGGTGCACTTTCGTAAGGAAAATATTTTGGTTTATGAATTTCAATGAATTATCACAAGCTGCCTTACTTGCTTGTGGCCTTTTCTGGCAAGCATTAATACCGCATGCCGATTACTTTGAAACCACAACCGTTCTGGGTGGTCTAGGCAAGCACCAATATCAGCAGTAGTGGTAGTAGTGGCAGAGTGGCAGCAGTAGTAATACTACGAAAATCGTTACGACTGTGCCTTTTGTAGGTCAGTGGAAATTAAAGCAATGACGGAAGTAAA